CGATTCTCCGCGAGCAGCTGGAGCATCGCGCAGGCGCTATGACGCATGCGTGAACTGCGCGCGTGCACGAGGACGCCACCGGCCCTGTTCCAACGGAACCGGTTGGAACGGGATAAGCAACCCACCACTGTGTAGGGACATGCTTTACATTATGGGTGCTGGCATGAGTGATATTGTGTGTGTGCCCCCGCATTTTAGCTATCACTGTTTTATAATGTCCCAGACTGAATCATTTTTGGAATCGGTTTAAATTTGTACATTACTTTAATAACCAAAGTTATAATAATATAAATATTATTTTAAAAATTAAAATTCTTCAAACTTGGTTTTTCTTCCTTTTACATTTTCTCTACCAACAGAACCCCATGCTTCTTTCTTTAATGTCTTGTCTGATGAAGTCTTCTGAAGAATACCAAAACTTGCATATTATTCTCTGATTTTTAAATTATTTCTTATAGAAATATTGCTTTCGTAGGTATTTTGGATTCCTCCCCCCCCTTTTTTGGTTGTATCTTGAATTAAAGTGTTCATTTACTCATGCATGATCAACTGAACCTTTTGCTGTGAATATATGAAAGAAGTCTATTTAAAAAGTATTTTTCTTAAGCTGGTACCGGTTATACCTATTCTTTGTCAATGAGCAGTAGTCTCTAATAACTCATTCACACATGAAAATCTGTGCTGGCTAATGACTACAATAAAGTATTTCATATAGTTTCACATACAAGTTTTCTCCTTAATGTCCTCCTTCCATCCTTCTTCCCAATTTGTGATCTTCTACTCTTTGAAAATACAAATGCCCTCTTTCTTTCCATCTTCATGTCCAGAGAAGCTTCAGCTTTAGCAAAGGGTTTTCCTGCCATCTTCCATGTTAAGTCTGTTCAAATCTCAAGAATGCAGAGAAAAGATCTATTTTGGCTCATGTTGTCTGCTTGTGTGAAACAATATAATAATAGTGTGTCTTGCAAAACATTCCTTTGACAATATCCCCTGCTTCAGTTAAGTTGGAATAAAAGGGTATTTCTTTTCAGTTATATCTGTAAAAATGCAGTAATTGGATCTCTTCCACAAAGACTCTTGGCTCAGTAGGAGGTATTTCCCCGAAAGTCTTCTATAGCCTTTATACGATGCCTGCATTTGCCTGGACAACCACTTATTATTCCATTCTTGACCACATCAGCTTCTCTTTCCTGTTTTGCTGTCACTTTAATTTCCTGCAAGGTTGTAGATTTAATCAGTAGCTAATGCCGCATGTTGATTGACTCAATTTCCTGATTAGGTCTATATCACCTCCTTGTTCCTGATGTATTCCATGCTGAAATATCAACTCTGTTCTAATAATTTCCCCAGAACTGCCAAGCGAAAGATGGGGAATGCAACAGTCTCTGACTGAAAAGTGTGGGCATTTATATACTAGGCATTATGTCACCATTTTCTCTGCTGTGAACCTATAGATGAAATTGCTTTCTACAAGGGTTCATTGTAGTTTGGCTATTTAGTGCTCTCATGATGAACAATTAAAGTTTTGAATGGAGTAGTCCTCATCCTCATCATTTTTCCTCAAAGATGCTTCTTTATTTTAGAAGATTACTAAATATAAACACAGTATCAGAATATACCTCAATAATAAAATTCCACTAAATGATCAAAGGAAAAAAAGAACGGAAAAACCGGATCCCTCACATGAACTGTCTTCACGTCAGTGGTGGGTTTCAATTTTTTTTGAACCTACTCTATGGGTGTGGCTTCCTTTGTGGGAGTGGCTTGCAGGCCATGTGACCTGGTGGGAGTGGCTTGCTGGCCATGTGTTTTGTTTTCTTTCTTTCTTTCTTTCTTTCTTTCTNTTTATTGATTGACTAGTATTACAACCTTATCAATAGAATAAAAAATAAAGCATAAAATAGAAAATATTAATCTTATTTAAGAATAAGAAAGAAAGGAGGAATTAAAGTAATCACATAAATGAATCTCCCTTGCAGGGTACCCCAATTTGTTCAATGCATTGGGTTCATAGGATGACTGTCTTAGTTATAAATTTATCAATTCTGGCTTACAATATGTACAATTGAGCTCAGGAGGAAATATGACAATCTGTGATTTGAATCCCAGTAAGCTGTTCTTTCCGAAAGGAAGGTTAAGAATTTAAGACAGAAGGGGGCATATAATTGACAGTCAAACAAAATATTAATTAGGTGAAATGTGTCCAGTCCATTTCCCATTTTCTTAATTTATGTAGTATTTGCCTTTTAACCATAGTGATATATTGTGGAATACTAATGACTATAAGGAGACATTCCTTAAGATTTTTCTTTCTAGCTACAATAAATTTTTCATATTACTTAAATTACTTTAATACCTTTCTTAATGGTTAGCTGTAGTTTTGGATGCTAATCTGCACTCATCCAAGCAGCCCACAATATTTTCAAAACTTAAGCAAGTGCACGTGATTTCTGCTTCTGATGTTATTGTATCTCTTCAAAATATATCATTTTCTCTCATACAAATAAAATTTCCCTTTCTAGTGTTTCCAGCTGTCTCATGAAGAATGGTGATAAATACAGTAATAGCAGATAAAATATTTGAACATCAGTGTTAATGTTCAGTTTTGCAGTTCTCTGTAACTATCATTATAAGAGCTATGTAGGACCTGTTCAAGAACAATGTGGTATTTCATTGTTGTTGGTTTTTTTACAGCTTCATTCTTCAATATCATGCTGTTGATATAACAGATTTAAAATGCATATTGTTTATATCTTTTAGTGTTCAGCACAATCATCTTCAGACGCCTGGGATTTCACCACGCATAATGATACACTGACATCTCAGAAAACAAAACTTAATTTCAGGTAAAAAAAAATCAGTTTATATTTATATTTCTTTTTATCTCTATTTGTATAATGTAAGCAAGTCTAGAAATTTTTGCTTTTAAGAATGCGAATTTAT